TTATATAAAGTTTCCTGCAATTCGTTTCACAATTTTTTATATAATTACGTAACTGACGAAAAGTTATTTGCTCGTTAAAAAACGTTCATTGCTGAACTCTTCCAATTGAATTTAATTAACAGAATTTTAATAGAAATTCCACTAGAAATTTCATTAAACGAATTTCCATTCAAGTTGCGAGGCCGCAAGGGTTCGATCGATCGAAGCTTTTATATGAATTTTCGATTATCCGGACTTTTATCATTCCATATGTCAAGGATATACGAGTACGCACGTCAGTTGATATTACATCGCAATTCCCAATCGAATTCTATATGATATTACATATATTTCGAGCCCGACATTTCACCGTCGGATCCGGTTTGTCCTTTAGCAAACCTATTCGAAGTACGGGGAATTAATTCCAGGGAGGCAACGTGCGCGTGCAATACCTGTTAACGGAAAGCAGCACGATGCGGTTTGCTTTTGGTCATGTGTTAGCATAGCCAACCCCGGGTTCCACGATTAATAATCGCAGTAGGGGAAAATTGCGTCATTGCCCGAAATTCTAAACTTAATATCCCGCTAGCTAGCACAGTTTGTCCCTTAATTGTGCGTATAAAGACCGAACTAAATGAACTCCCCTAATTAACCGAGGAACTCGGCTCCCTTACTCTTCCTCTCACACTGACTCATCAATTACCAGCTATATGCTATGCTGCCCGCAGTTTTCACGCAGACTGAATTTTTCATTAACCCTGCCGAGTAAAATTGTGAAAATTAACTCGATCCGCGGTAGCTTGGGAGATTTCGCATCGGCTTTACGGTGTTTCGCTGTTTCTAGCATTTCGCTCTGCCATTCTCTTCGCTCGTAAATGCTCTGGCCATGATTTACAGCCTTTAATCTCGACGAACGTGCGTGGGTGACGCAGTTGGTAGGGGTGTCTCGGAAAAATTATTCCATCTGCTCGTTCCAATATTCGCTAGCAGCCTCCGTCGTACATATTATACAGAACCCGAGCCAGAAACGTCGATAATTTCCTAGATAAGCAATATTTCCGGCTGTGTCGTTCGCAATAATGTAGATACGTCGAGTGGCACGACGCGTATCGACACGATGACACGCAATAGACGTTAACTCGTTTCTCGATTAATTTCTACTCGACGCATACTTCCGTCCAGAAGTTTTACTAGCGCTTATTGTCTGTCAAAGAGTCTGACAAGTCCTGATCACAGTACGTCTCACTATTATATAAAGAGGAAGCGTTTGTTTGTACGTTAGGAAAAATCTAAAAGGCAATTTAAGTATTTACAATGAAATTTGAGATATACTCTGGAGTATCATAAGATATATTTATTTGTAAAGCAAACAACACTAGTATGAATAATTACTGAAATTGAAAAAGAGTGAAAAATAGGTTTCTACTTTTTTACAATATTTCTTTAACGCGCTAGGGTATCCAAAAGAGATTTACTTCAAAATATTACATAGTCAATTAAAAGAGGATATAAACTGTAAATCAGAATTTTCTCTATGATTACGTGTGTAATTCTAAATTCGATATAATAGATTCTCCTACAATTATTAATAAAAATTTTGCAAGTTTCATTTTGCCTATACGTGTTTTTTATGTGTTTTGCAATATGTTTTAACACATGAGTGCAGAAGCTCCTCGCCGGGCTTCCATTCGCGTCACGGTTCTTCATTTTCGACTTTCTATTCAAAAACGTAGAATCGCATCTCCAAACGAATGTTCACGCTGACCAAATAACAGCGTCTCTGTAATCCGAGAACGTGAATAATTCAAGAGGTAAAGTGCAAGAGTAAATCCGCGTCTGTACACTGGCTCTCGCAAGTCCATCCGCATAAGGCGATGAATTTACTTCTGCACTCCGGGAGTGAATTATTCATAGTTAAATTACGGGCGAGAAAAGTGTGTCAGTCGTGTAACCTCGAACTTAGTTCCTTCAACGTTCTCGAGACAAAGGAACCTCTTGTGTTTCAACACGCGTAACATATTCCTCCGGTTTAGCATTCGAAATTCTCTTCGGTCCTCGCCACCTATGCATTCGACTCCTTCGGTAATCAGCAAGGAAAATTAGTTTAAGTATCGTAACGTATTAGCTTAACAGGGAAATAATTTTATTACGTAAATGAACTCTGTTAACTGTGTTGTTAAAATGATATACATGAAGTAACTTTTGTCAACTTGCCGGTGACAATTTGAAAACTTTACTCGTGCGTTTTGCGAAGGAGGAATTTCTGATACTTCATAAACTCGTTTGATGGCACTCTGCTCCGTGCGTAACATTCATTGCAAAAACGCGTGGAATACTTCGACTTCTCAAAACTACTCAGGATGAGATTCAATCGTACCGTCTTGTAAAGCAACGCGAATTTCCCAAGTAAATTCATTGGATTCCGGTGCTGCTGCTATTTTCGTAAAGGTGAGACAGAATGAAACTGGTCAAAACTGAAGCTTCCGTCATGTCCCGGTAACCTTTCCTGAAAACTGCATTCCATTTATGCGGCGCGTGCTCGCGCGAATGTCTCTACTACTCTACGTGCATAATGCAACGATGTTCTGGTCGTTATGGCGACGGGCAGAGTAATAATTTGTTGGAATTGTTGTTGCATAAAAGAAACATTAGAAGGAACAACGTTAGGGCGGAGGTTGTTCGGTTGCGAAAGATAAACTCGAATTCCAGAAAAAGTTCGAGCTAGTCTGGTTAAGAATTTTGCCCAGCGATTCGAGACACATAAATGTCGAGAACTATAAGAACTATAAATACGAACGTGCGGCGAAAAGTTGGCCGGCCGAAAGAAAGGTGAAATGTGGCATAAAAACGGCGTTGAGTATGCCATAAATTGAAGCGAATATTACTGTAAAACGCTATCGGCACACACCATACGAATAACGTTTACCCATCAGCGTGCCATGTTCCGATAAATAATCGAAGGTAACGTCTGTTTAATATCTCGGTAGATTTTATGCCAGATATCATGTATTACTTAATCGTTCCTTCTGAGAATAGTTATTTCAAAATAACTTTACCGAACGTGTCTATGGATAATAATTATAAACATTTTACCAGATCGATTATAAAAATGTCAATAAGATGATTCCATTAAAATGCAAGATATTACAGATCGTAATCAAATTGTGGTATGTTATTCTTCAGATCGCAATGAATATGTCGGTATAGTTAAATGTCCACGTTACCGAATTTAAAAAATAATGAAGCTTAAAACGTTGTACTTTAACACTGAAGTATGTGGGTGTCATGCACTTGTCAATGGAAACTATAAAATTAGTATGCTTGAATTCTGGGAGTGAAAAGAAAAACCTAAGCTCATTCAGATATTCTAATAAATGCAAAAGAAATATATTTTGCCAAACTAAGAAAAAAGTTATTTGCATTAAAATTATAAATATTTCATTTCTTATATACGACTTTAAAAAAATCGAAATTTATTTTTATGGACTATAGTAATGTGCATTAAAATTTATGACATTCTTAGTATGCACATTCGCTTGACTTCAGAATATTAATAGAATCACCTTAACAAGTGAAATGCCTGTCTCCCAAAAATAATTAGAAATCCTAATGTAACGATCGTGGTTACGTTCAGTCTGTTATACGTGCAATTTATTTGATTCATTCATAAAATATACGCGTACGTTGTCGTTCACAAAGAGTTACCGAGAAAAATCCGGTTTATGACATCGCGTACGTAACGTAATAACGGAACAAAGTCTGATGCGATGGCAACGCGAATTTGCATCGCCCGAAGCGAGTTGAGACCACGGCGGGGCTAAAGCGTCGGATTTCCAGTAGTTCAGCTTGATATTGGACGCGACGCGTTGCGTCACTAGGAAAAACGCGTATCGACGCGGTACCGCCTGGTAATATTTCTCGCGGATTTACCGGGAATCGACGTTCGCTCAGCGCACGCCGGCTCTTTGTAAGAAAGCAGTCATTTAACGATGCCATAACGCGATTCCGACTAGATTTAATAGCCGCATATCTTCGAAGCGAAAGTTCATCCGCGATAAAAAGCTGGATTAATTATCTGAGGTCTGATCAAAGCTACGAAATAAGTAGGTAAGCCCCAGACAAAGTTCAAAAGTGGCTATTGTGTTAGGTTGATGGAAAAATAATTGCGGCCTTCGCTGTTATGCGCAACAACCGCAATTATTTTTGCAGCATCTAAACAAATTGGTTTCTGACATTTTGAGAAGTAGTTCTCTATCAACGAGGAGTTAAAAAGTACAATTAGAGAAGTAGTCTTTAAAATCTTGTGTAATTGCTACAAAAGTCGAGTTTTCTTCAAATGAATGAATAATTGTCAGGACAGAGACAAAGTATAAACGCGTAGAAAGATTTCGGTATCTTGAATTATTCCGGCTGCTTGAAATTTGTCGTGCTTCACGTGACCGAATCCCCAATCTCGATAACATCGAGCTCGGCCAAGTGTTCCAGACCCGTTTTTCTTCCCTCTTTCATGCTTGCTTTTCGATTTTCTAAGATATCACTGACTAGAACTCCGGTTTCTACTCTAGTTGTGTAGTTTCTTCAACCTCAAGACTGAACTTTAAGACAATTCAATTCGACCTTTTCTTCCAGGGAATATCATTCGTGCCCGATAAGGTTCAAATTTCATTCGATCTTCACTGATCTTTACTCGGAAAACGAAATCGAGGCATTATTAAAAGTAAAATCCAAGAATTTTTATACCTATTATATTATATCTTTCATATTTTAAGTATTTTCATATATATTACGTATAATAATATAATAACTAATATTCATATTTTTTAATATATGGATTTTTGATACAGAGAAGTCTCATAGCTATTTTTCTTTTAAGCTCCATCTTACCTTAAGCAAACCGAGGTCTATTATGCAATAAACTCTGGCAAAGTGCATCTACCAACAATTGCATAACTCCGGTGAACATTGAAAATTTTATAAACGCAAAGTATCCTTTTTTCTACGAAGACATTTCTTCAGTATATTCCAAACAAACCGGATGCAGTTACGTATCGCAAGACATGATTGCATGACAACAATTTTCCTGGTCGACTTTCCCTCTCGATAACTTGCGTATCGTTTTCATGAAGGTAATTTGTTTATCGAGACATCAAGACTGTGGAATCGAAGTATTACGAGGGTTATAGAAATGTCTCACAACTTTTACAGAGTCGGATTAAGAGTTATTTATAGAGATAAACATTGCGTTATATCTGTCAACAACTTTCATTAAATAAGAACAGCACTTTTATTCTGATCATACGTTCTTCGTATAAAATAACTAACATTCTTCGTCGCGGATTCGTCCGGATTAATTATTATATAAAAAATGAGAAATGTTTAGAATAGAAATATTTCATGAACGAAAATCAAGTCGGTAAGTCATGGAACTTTAGAGATATGGATGATTTTGTGTACATACATTTTACTCGATCTCGGATAGCTAATGTATTTTTCAAGTTAACAATTTTCTTATAAAATCCATAAGAGGTCGTGCACGCGAGATAACTTGGCGAATCCCCAGTGAATCGACTTGACGGGAGGCGTGTAAATTTTCCAAACTTAACCCAAGAAGATTGGCTCGAAACGCGTGGAGCGATCATAAAAATAAAAGCGTCTCCTTTATTACTCCATATATCTCGCAGCTTAGTATTTCCTTTTGAAATTATTTATACTCCCGCGACTATCTTGACTCGTCGCTGAGGAACGTTAAAAGTCATTAACGCGGAGAACGAAGGATCGAGAGAGGAACTACTCGTACGCTAGGCAATATCTTCGTAGAAAACAGTGTTCCCCTGAGATTATTGTTTTACCGTTCCGGTCCCAGAGTGGTAATCGTAATCTCGTGCGACGCGCGATTTTCAAGATATATAAGCCAATAACCGAATTGGCTTATACATACATATAGTATAGCTTTCACGTTTTATACAAGCATAGATATAATGACTGCAAATTTTATAGCATTATAAGGAGAACTATAAACACTGCATGTGATGTGATATAATTCTAACTTCCAATTCATACCATAAATGTTTCATTCTGTATAGAAAGTAGTCTAGTAAAGTACCTGTTTGAATAATCATTCTGCTATCTCTCCAAATAAAAACATTAGAGAAACTGACAAGCAATCCATTCGTATTATCGATGTTCCTTTGGTCAAAGAAGTCAATTATACAATATCAGAAAATTCATGACATCTTCAGAACCGCATGCTTCCCTGCGTCACTCCGGATTACGTCAACCTTTACGAATCTACGAAATCCCTGAGGGTAGATGGATCCACGAGGCACGGAGAAGAGGAAGAAGAAAGAAAAGGGAAAGGTGAGAGTTCTGGTTTTAATTTAATCGGACAGGAACGTTAAGGAGACGCCGAAGAAGCGCGTGCGCAACCGTGCGTTCCTGGACCACCGTCAGCCTAGTAGCCCACGCTGACGTCGGCGGCGTCGCGGTTGTGGGTGCTGTTCGTACGTTGCCGTCGCGACGCCCAGTGACCGTGCCACCCGCGTCTCAGTACGCGTCCACACGTCGTCAGGGCACGATTTACTGTCGCTCTGTTCGGTGCTCACGAATTTCACGAGTGCCGCGTCCACCCTGCTGTGCACGTGACTCTGCTCCACCGCACGACATTCAAATCGTCCATCCGGTATTCGTATGCCTCGTGATCCATCCCGGAGCGTCTTCTTGAATGAACTACGAGATGTGGCGAACAGGTCGTCCCTCGTCGTGTAGGAGTTGAATAATTAGCAAGGTAAGAGCGTAAATTGGTGTTATGTGAAATTTCGAATTCAAGCGTGGCTTCGTTCAATGATAGAAATTGATTGAGTCAAATTTAGCCGCCGAGGGTGCCACGAGGTTCTCATGCGATTCAGATCGCGGATATATTTTAAGCGATGAGACTCGTTTTTTTGCCAACTTGTTAACGTTCCCGCTCCAACAGGTCGTCGGAAGGCGGCGTTGTTCGTAAAACGCGAACAAAGGTGAAACACGCGCGTGTAGCTTATTACCTGTGACATTATTAATATGCCTGGTTTTTCTGTGTTCGCCTATACCAAAAATACGTGGAATTCTGAGGGGTCGCCGAAAGACACGCGGTGACGTGACACGTTTATGCGTCGTAACATGTTAATTATACCCTCGTGACCAGAAACACGAAACAGAATGATTCCTACGTTTATAGGTGAATATTTCACTACGTTAATGTCGCGTGCACGAACACCCACATTATCTTATCGTTCGGAGTTTATATAGAAACGATCTTGAACAATTTGTGCGGTTAGCGAAAATCAGCCTCGAATATTCTGTAGGAACTCTGGCAGAGGGTATAAGATTCGCCACCCTTCTAGTCTACCCCATGGGGATGCGTATTGACAGTGGCTCCACGTGTACCGTGGCCACGTCGACGCTTCCCACTACGGTGAGGACCGAAATTTCAACGAGCTAACAAACGGTCTGGAAAAGCGATACAACCCTGAGAACTTTCGCTGACCTTACTCTTTGACGTGAGCCGATGAAATGTTACCGGACTAGTGCCTGATCTGACAAAGCTTGATGTACCTTTTCGAAAAGCCGCGGATTTTCTAAATTGCGATCCATACAAATATTATTAATGTCTCGACAGCTTTATGCAAAACATATAAATTAGCAGAATATAGAGTAAATGTCCTAATTTTTGTCCACATCATAATTTCTACCCACTGGCATAATTTCTGCAATTTCATATTATTTTAACACTATTCCTACCGAAAATGCCAAAAACCTGCTAAAATTTTCGCTTCAAATTATTACCATTAGTTTAATCGCTTTTCCGCAATTAAATTTTTGACTTTTCATTTAATTAATTAATTTAACAACCATTATAGGAAAAGTCAAGAATTTGATTGAGGAAAGAGGATTAAAGTAATGATGATAATTTTAAGAGGTAAAAATAGCATTGAAATTATAAAAGAATATATTATGTTAATTATACATTTCTATAATTTTGGTATCTCAAAATTATAGGAAATTAAGCCGGCAAGTAGAAATTGTGATGTGAACATAAATTTCATTTACGTTAAAATGGTCATAAATATGTATATCTCTAAAATGTCAATCTCTCATCATCAATTATTTATCAAAAACTTTCATCCCTCCGACTGGCATCCGTCCATTAGCTCAGGGAGAGAGATATTTTCAAACATTTTCCTTCGTTTGCCAGGCCATAGAGCCGTGCTGAGTCGTATACATCCGCTCGATATGGGATGGAAAATTGTCAAAGGTTGTATCTCGCGTTTGTCGTTCGAGACGCGGGGGTGCAAAAAATGGTCGGCCTTGTTCCTCCGTGCCTCGATACATCTTTTCATCGCGGCCGTGCGGAGGGACGAGTACAGTGTTCAGTCAGCCAGCTTTCCACCATTCTTTCCCCTGTCGTTTTCTGGCTCGTTTGTTACGGTACTGCCGTCTACGTCAACCAGTGTCCGTGTCGCGATTTTTCTTGCTTCCCTTATACCCTGACAGGATGGTCCACATTCTTTAGTTACGCTTACTTGGTAGCAAATGTGTGATTATACCCTTAATTATATATTTAGATTTATATTCAAATCCATTTTTGTCGACAACAATTTTCAATCGCTTTATAAAAATGGAGACCACTTTCTGAAGTGTGTATCATAGTATGACACTGGTTTCCGAAGAAACTGACTGGATCTGTAATAAACATTACATCGGATGCACGCCTGCATGTGACAGACAGTGCCACGTGTTCATGACACTGCATCGAGCCGTCGCTTTGAATTAGATCAACATCTGTATAAAATCAAGCGGTTCGACGTCGCCGCGGGATGCTGCGTCCCGGAAACGACGTGCAAACAGGTTGCATCATGATAGATGCATTTACGTTAATTCAAACTAGTTTACTCACAAATAGCTTCTGTTCCTGGAATTATCTTGAATACACCATTGCTTCTTAAGTAGTCAGGTTTAGTAAAAGCTTAACACGAATCTCTGGCAAATTGACAAACATGAAGCTTGCCAATTTTTGAGAAACTTGAGTTCAATAGACCAAAGTTCTTTTTATACTTAGAACATGATTTATTATCCTCTAGTCTTTCACTGATTATTGTACTACCGTTTTCATGACAGTGAAGAATTTTCTTTAACATTTCACAAAAATTGACAAGGTTCATCTTCGTCAATATTTAAGAAACTCAATTTCAGTAGACTACAGATCTTTTTATACACAGAACATGACTTACTAGCTTCCAGTCTTTTACTCATTATCGTATTATCTTTTTCACGGGAGTTTCTCTTTACATGGACTGCATTTCTAAGAATCAATTTAGTTTGCTGCCCTGGTTCCCAGGATACGATGTGCAGCGGTTTCTCGACGAGTTCGAACACACTGGATAAGGTTCTCGTTTCGACTATTGTTTCAAGGCGAACGGTTTGACTCGGTAAGGGAGGTGAAACAATAAGCTTCGACGAGAATAGAAGTTCTGGAAAAGGTCGGGACGCGTTGCACTCTTCAAGACACCGAGATTTCGAAGCACTCATTGTCTATTAAAAAATCTGGCGAAGGTTCTAACTAAAACAACGAAAGACATACTAAGCCGTTCGTTAATTATTCATTAAAGTATCACACATTTTCATTTGTCACACACTTGCAATGTCCCCGTTTAATTAGATGTTTCTCAATACAGTGTACTACGTATAGCCCATATTATTTTTCCAACAATATCGTATTTTCCAAGTGTGTACATCCGTACAAATTAATATTATTAACTTATATAATTAGTACTAAAAAATTGTCAATGAAATTCCTTTCCTCGACATAAGCTTACATGAATACATCAATTTTTACCCGAGGCTATTCAAGTGAGGAGCACTGTACGTCTTAAGACTTATAAACCGGGGATGGGGCGGTATATGTGTATACAAGAGTCACGTTTGGAATTGACCGAAGGGACGAACCGTCTCCCTTGTTCACGATTAAGTAAATATCCATCAAGTTTAACGTGTTGTCGGTTCCAATTAATCAAGAGTAATGCGTATACGCGCGGGACTTGAATCGATCGGGAAAAGAATCTATAAATAAAGCGACGCTGCTGTGTCGCTACACCAGGACAAATTGACGACGGGACTGATTATCGGATTAATTGAAACGCAGTGGACGTTGAAAACCCGACGGTAGAACAACTTCTATTCAATTTATAATTTTTTATCAAAGTACAATTTCAGTAGCGTAACACTCAAATTTCTGATGGAATCTCGTCGCAACGTCTAGTGTCGCTTCATTAATCGTGAGCAAAGATAAAGAATGCGCGACAGATTAGGTAGCTTGGACGGTAAATCAAGTTCCCGTGGAAGCAAGCACGCCCAGTCGCGGACCCACGGAATTTTGAGAGGAACAGGCAACACGCTGTCACGAGCTGCTTTGCTTTACGTAACTCGTTCATCGTTTAATAACACCACGTCAACGGCGGCGGGAGTCCCTAAATATCACCCAGGCTACCGTCGAACTACTAGTTCGTTTCTCTTTTGGCCTCGCTCTTCCTTTTCCACGTGAACGACAATGTGTCAAACGCGACGGCCGGTCGACGAAGATTCATCGTTCACCTATTGACGCTTGACAATTCGAGTACACAAACAAGTATAGACGTATGGTGACAGTAAATTGAGTGTGCGCCTTGCATACCTGAAGTTCAATACTTCTGTCGCATTGTAAAATCAGATAGGTTCGCAGTTGTTTCTTATTGTCACTCTCTGTATTTTTATGTAC